CAGTTATCAGATCTTCTTCTTCTTTGCTTTAATTGCGAGTCGCAACCAGTCTTGGAGCATTATCGCTATGACATCACTTACGCGACCCAGAATGGGATTTGGGATTTGTAATCTTTCTAGTTGCGTATTTTTCATAGTCTTATATTTCAACAGTTTTACGACAAACTGTGACTTTTTTTTACATGGAAATGATTGTTTAAGATTGACAAACATCATATGTGTAATTCGTGGCACAATTCAAACAGGATCAAAAGATAACTTTTCTCTCTCCATTGACTTCAATGTATAATTTTCCGCTTCCGGGGTCCCATGGACCGGAAGTAGATGGGCGTGACTTTGCCACTCTATAGGCTAGATGTTGCAACCATAGATATATATCTATGGTTGCAACTATACAGAGCTTTGACAGTACTGTATGTAAATATGCATGCTAATAAAGCTTTTAATTTAATTGATAGATACAATGCTTACGGAGGCGAGACGTAAGTCATGCACGCGCTAATGCACACGCACGTCGTTCACGCGCATATGCACACGTACGTCATTCACACGCTTATCATATGATAGGACTTTCTAAGCTACGCCGCCGCCACGTGAGCGCGTATTTTGGGCGCACCTATGATACGTCGCCGTGACGTCTGACAACGTTGTGACGACGCCTGTATTGTACGTTAACCCATTCAAAATTGATGGAGGCGTTGGCGCACGTTGACACGTCAGTTCTCCGCTCAGTTGGCTTAGTTATCTCTTCTTTGACACAAGTCACACCTCATAGAGTTCCGGCATTTTACATGACTTTGAGTTACAGCCCACTACACCACAGATCATACAGTGCAACTCATGCAGCAAACTCCGGAGTCCACTCGGCCACGTTAGTGTCGGTGTCTCCTGGGGATTTTTCATGAAAATATCGGACTTATCTAATGGATTGCTGTGCATTATACTTGTGTTGTGTAGTTTATACTTTATTCCAACTTTAAATATTTTAATACCTGAGCACATTGTTGCTGTTAAATAATTTCCCAATTTGGGATTGATAAAGTGTCTGTCTGTCTATTTATTGTATAGATTAAAAAAACACATCTATGTATTTTCAAGCTAAAGGTGATACACAATATAAACTGTATACTGTTATTGACATGTTACATTTCAAAAGCATATATTGCTATGTTTAGGACAAACAATTAAAGACTGCTTTAATTGAACAAATTCTACAATATAAAAGTGGCCGATTTGCTTTTACCAGACCTAGGCTGCATACCAACACAATTAGGAACATGCTCACATCTTACTGTCTGAAGAGCTGAAGCATTCATACACAATGGATGGGTGTTGTCTCATTATATCCTGTGAGAAAATGATATACATTTAGCATTAAAAACTCGACATACTATTCCTAGCCTGAGGAAGATATGAATAATCAACAGATTTGAATGGAATCTCTAACATTTTCATGTAGAATAAAGACAAAAGAGTGATTATACAAATTACATTTATTGAAATTTGAACCAGAAGATGAAGTCTCAAAGAATGTTTTAAATAAAAGGACATAAAACAAAAAGGTGGATAGTAATAACATCTATTAAATGTATATGTAAATACATATGGTCAAATTAGATGACACTGAGCAAGTGATAACAGCAACGCCCAGCGTGGATGAAGCTGGTGCAGGGTTGCGTTCCAATAGTCCATTTAGCTTAGGAACCTTCCTAGTGAAATGACCCGGAAGTACGTCACTGGCAGCCATGATAAGTGCCGTTCCAATTCTCCAAATGAAAGGAAAGGAGGTTTCAAACTTCCTTTATAACCTCCTTTAGCTTAGGAACCACTGGACCTCCCTAACCGAAAGGAGAGGAGAAAATGCTGCCCCACAATGCATTGCAGCCGCAGCATTTGCCGTCACTCAACAGTCAGCCGTTCACGGAAACAACCGAGAAGTTATATCATGAAAGTTACGGTGCTTATTACGCATTTTAAAACGTATGTGGTAAGTTGCCAAAGTGCTTTTTTCTGAACGTTCATCAGTATTATAATCAAAAAGAGAAATATGAATGTTAGTTTTTACTGAAATGATCAAATAAAGTCAACATCTCACAGTGTCTACTGAGCTGTGTGGGGTTTGTTCAACTTTTAAAAGATGTTTGAATGGTGATATACACAGTGATAGATGTTAAGGACTAACGTTTATAATAAATACATTTGTATTGATTTTAAGATATGTTTATAGTTCATACAATCACACGTATTGGGATCATTTGTATTAATGTGGACCGGAGGGAGAGGGTGACGAGCATAAGTTTCACTTTCCTTTTTTATTTCAATTCCAACTTTGGTCCTGAAGAATATGTTTCTCTGTTGTCCACGTTCATAAAGCATAAAACAACAGCATCAGAGCATGGTGCAGAGTCTCTAGATGAGTCCCTCGTTCTTATTAAACATCCATGTTGTAGTCCGTTGTATAGAACACTGTAGTTTCCATAGTTTCACCACAGCAGCAGACACACACAATGACGTCCGCTGGCGCATCATAAACACGTCTGATAGTGAAAGTGCAGTCGGATTCTCTAAAGTTCTCTTCTCCTAAATCCTTTTGAATTCTCCTATCCACTAACCCTGTGACGTTTCACTCAGAGGTCAAGGAATAGACAATAGGGTTAGAACTTAGGAGCTGATTTTTGGACTATTTGCCTGCAGCCCCGGTGTCTGAACGCTCACTCACTGCTAGCTATGTAGCTAACTGTTAGGTTACTTAGCTTGCATTGTTATGGATCTTTACGATACAAAACTAATCCCATAATTGTCACCTCTTTTAATACTTTATGCCTCATTCTGAAAGAAAGAAGTGAAATGTGCCAACGTGACGGCCGTCTTGGTGTGTGGTGCGAGACAGAGAGGTAGTTCATTGAGCGGTTTCACACAAAAAGTGTTACGACACATTTTTATTTTTTTTACTTGCAAAATTATCTTTTAAATTGACAAACATCATATGTGTAATTCGTGGCACAATTCAAACGGGATCGAAAGATAATCTTTCTCTCCCCATTGACTTCAATACATACTTTTCCCGAAATAAGGTCCCATGGAGCTCCCCGGAAAGGGAGGGACTTCGCCTCTCTATAGGCAAATGTATTCCGTTTAGGGCTGCACGATATTGGAAAAATCTGACATTGCAATATTTTTTCCCCCTGCGATATGAAAAAATACAGGAATTGAAGAAAAGACCGTTTTCATTTGTCCGCAAACTATCCTTTCTTGAACTTTAATGCTATACAATTGGTATTTTTTTTTAACGACATTTAACCGGATGAAGGATTTTAGTCACGGACTTCTGGATCTTAAGTTATCAGAGCAACAAGCTGAGCTAGCTCGGTTATCCTGCTGTGATCTGATCAAGAATGGTTGTGATTGGTGGTTTGCTGTGCCATGCCACTCACTCAAGTACCTCTGACATGAGAGCCGCGCAAGTTTTCCTTTTGTAGCAAGCAGCAAAATAATTGTAATATGACGTGTACTTATTATCGCACGTCCTAAAAAATAAATAAAATAAAAAACGTCCTGCATGCGCATAACGGGATTATCCTCACGACACATCGTGCACCCCTACTTCCCTTACAGTTACAGAAGCAAAAACAATCAGATAACAGGTACATTTATGTAAAACAGGGCTCATTAACAGGACAGCAATGATACAAAACATTTAGAAATAAAGAACAATACATCAAGTCATCCTATATCTCTATATGGAAACTTGGAGCCCTCAATCCAAAAATAAAATGGTTCATCAACAGTCAGTTGTTAAAGGTGGGGTAGGTAACTTTCAGAAACCGGCTCGAGTGCACTAAAATTTGAAAGTACACAGCCGAAAAGAATCCGCCCCTTCCTTCAGACTTCCTTACAGAGCACCTACTCCAACACACATGAACGCGCACATGACGTCAGCAGACTGGTGAAAGTGGCCGCCTGTTGTTGGCGAGTCATTGAAGTACTGCTGCAATGCACGCCCAATGAGGGCACGAGACACATTTGTGCATGCACGAGATGGAAGGCTGACAGACAAGGCGGCAATCCAATCCGTTTAGCCGGGCCGGATGTACTTTTTACAGTATTACGGCTTCCACAGATGACATTTTTTTAATGGATTTTTTGTCAAAGCACTTAAGATATTCATTGCTATCGGATGTTAAGAGCTTTCCATGGAATATAACAAAAAGTGTATCTCGAGCCGGCTTCTCAAACTTACCTACCCCACCTTTAACGTATACATCAGAAAATCAGTATGACAAAAACATTAAACATATTGTCCACTTATGTTGATAAAGATGGAGTTCACTTAAAGAGCAACTTGCAGGTTATAGACACCAGTGAATAAATGTGTAGGAAAATTATGTATACACTAGATTTTACAAAAAATATACATAAATATACAATACAGTCGTTAGTAGATGGCGTCGTTTTTGTAAGACATTTTTGTAAGACATTTTTACTTCCGCATAAAAAAAGCCTCCCCATGTGACCTCCCGCGTGTGACGTCACATGGGGGAGAGCGGCCGGTCTAATGTAGTAATAAACATGGATCACAATGCTAGTTTTTACACAGAAGAGGTTGAAAATAAATATTCAAATGCATATGACGGACCACAACCATATAATTATGAGCCTACTAGGCGTCCAAGAGACCAGGAGCAGCCAAGGATTAGAAGAAATAATGGCCATCGGAGAGAAATGGAGCTTTGGTGTGAGGAGAATCAGTGGAGAACAGGGCAGCTGTCTTGGTGAGTGACCGGCATTAGCTACAGTTAATGTTAGCTAATGTCGGTCATATCGCAACATTGTAAAGTTAGCTATCATATATCAGGCTATAACTAAAGTAGTATTGATAATATAGTAACGTTACTGGCAGGACTGTTGATACTGATCCATAACATAAACTAATGCGCAAGTATCAGCGGTATCTCGCGTTTGTTACGGTATCTGAGAGGACACAAACGCAGGACACGGCAGAGTGTTCAAAAAGGGTTTATTAGTGGACGAGGTGCGGGGAGTAGATTCCGGCTGGAGTGGCGAGGACGTGGCGGCTGGTGACGGCAACACAGCGGTCGGAGAATGATACTGGAGCACAAGAAGAAAACACGTTAGACGCTAAAACATCCAGGTATGAGAAAATAGCTATAATGCTAAGTAGCCTTGAAGTTATACCACTGTGGTTTTTCAACGATCTGGCGGAGAAAGGTTGTGGAGCCTCCGTTTGTAAATGGCTTGATGGAAAGCAGGTGTGTAATCGGGGAGGGTGCACAGCTGATTGCATCAGGTGAGTGGAGGTTGAGCCGGGAGCCAGGAGTGACAGCCACCACTCCCATACAAACAACACAGACACAAACACACACAAAGTAGACGGCTGGAGGAGTACAGCCACCACAGCGTTACCTAATGCAACTCCACACTACGTCTTACGGTGCTGTGTACCGGAGGGGAGAGAGAGAAGAGTGAAGGGGTGGAGAGAGATGTAATACGGTTTCCTGATAAACTTTTGTTTGATAGGCTTCAGCTGTGGAGAGTATGTGCTGCAGGGAGGTGGATGCACTTCGCACAACGCACCCAGGAACGAAAGCTAGCTCCGGTCCTTTTCCTGTTAGGGAAACTGTGGACTCGATGTCCTGACAGGCTGGAGTTTGTGCAACCTGTACAAACTCCAGCTCACCATGATTACAAATGGTGAAATCAGAGGTGGCGTTAACCGAATATTTTCCATCTATGACGGATTTTTTTTAACAATGACGGACAAATCTGAAAGCAGTCCGTCATTTTGACAGATTAGAACAAACTCGGAACAGCGCCAAAGTTTCCCCGCAGCGAGGCTCCGGTGTTATGCAGTGTTATGCATGCCCTCCAAAAAGGAAATCATACCGTTTCCAAACCTAACTGTGCCGTACAAATCATTGAAATGTCTGAGTTTTGGCTTTACGCTGTGCACGCTCCCGCGAGGTGCAGCAGCCATGCATAACACGGCGCATGTGAACTGTCCCCCCCCCCCCCGTTGACAGTTCACGAGCATGCTTTCTCCCCCCCCGTCAGAGTTGTGTAAAGGCCGACGGGTAATTCTGGATTTTGACAGAAGTTTTACGATCGTGTCCGTCAAAATGACGGGCAGCGAAAAAATCTAGCGCAACCTCTGGGTGAAATGCAATGTAAAATTACCGAAAAAATACCAGCTCACTAAATCACAACCGCTCAAACCAACTACAAAACTACTACCGCGAATTGGGCAGCGAATGAGTCCGAGAAAGTTGCTCCCCCATGTGACGTAATATGACGCGTTTGACATATGACGTTAAAAAAAAGCAGTTTTTAGTAGCAGAGCTCAAAACGGTTCCTTTCCCTCTGAATTCCTGCCCTTATGTCTTGTAAAACATATCAAATCCTGCATTCACTTTTTTTTTATTGTAATTTTCAGGCAAGGTTAAGCATAAATCTAGTAAAAAAAAAACCTGCAAGTTGCTCTTTAAAGGTGGGGTAGGTAATGTTGGAGAAATCAGCTCGCTTTTTGTCAAAGCACTTCAGATATTCATTGCTATCGGGATGTTAAGAGCATTCCATGGAATATAACAAAAAGTGTATCTCGAGCCGGTTTCTCAAACTTACCTACCCCACCTTTAAGTATTTTATGAATGTTGTGCGACAATGTTAATCTAGACAGACTGATTTTTCTCATGTGTGAACTGTCTTAAGACTTATTCATTGTCCTCTCCATCAGCTTCTGTTTCCATGTGTTCAGCTGAGCTGCTGATTGGAGGTTCTGCCTCTCTGTTATCCTCAGTTTGAATGTCATTAAGCTGTGAGGACTGATGACCAACACACTTGTGTCTTTTGAAATAACCATGCCATTTAAATCTTTTGTCACAAACATTGCAGCTGTATATTTCCTCTCCTGTGTGGACTCTCATGTGTGTCTTTAAACCTCTACTCTGTGAAAAAGCTTTCTTACAGACTGAGCATCTGTATGGTTCCTCTCCTGTGTGGATTCTCATGTGTTTTTTTAAACTTTGACTCAATGTAAAAGATTTGGTACAAACCAAGCAGCTAAAGGGTTTCTCTCCTGTGTGGATTCTCATGTGTTTTTTTAAACTTTGACTCACTGCAAAATATTTGGTACAAAATGAGCAGCTAAAGGGTTTCTCTCCTGTGTGGACTTTCGTGTGTTCCTTTAAAGTTCCACTCTGTGAAAAAGATTTCTTACAGACTGAACATCTGTATGGTTTCTCTCCTGTGTGGATTCTCATGTGTTTTTTTAAACTTTGACTAAATGCAAAATATTTGGTACACAATGAGCAGCTAAAGGGTTTATCTCCTGTGTGGATTTTTGTGTGTTCCTTTAAACTTCCACTCTGTGAAAAAGATTTCTTACAGACTGAGCATCTGTATGGTTTCTCTCCTGTGTGGATTCTCATGTGTTTTTTTAAAGTTTGACTCAATGCAAAATATTTGGTACAAACTGAGCAGCTAAAGGGTTTCTCTCCTGTGTGGATTTTCATGTGTCGATTTACATCTCTTCTATATGTAAAATATTTCGTACACACAGAGCAGCCAAATTGTTTCTTTACAGCACTACAGCTTGAATCACTGACAGATTCTTGTCTATTTTTCAGTGATTTTGAGGCTGAAGCAGGTTCTCTGGTCTCCTTCCAATCAGCACTGTGTTCAGTGTCAGGTTCAGAAGAGTCTCCAGTGTGAGGTTCAGAAGAGTCTCCAGTGTCGTCCTCAGTCTTTGGTTGTAAACTGCTCTCTGGATCTGAGTTCCTGGCTGGTTCTGGTCCTCGACAGTCATCTCCATCAGCTTCTGTTTCCATGTGTTCAGTTTGTCTTTGATGAGGCGGTGAGGACTGACGTTTCTCTTCATCATCTTCACTCTTCACAGGGTCAGGAGTGAAAGTGGACTTGGTGATATCAGCCTTCTCCAGCTCCTGAAGCTGCTCTCCCTCCTGACTGATCCCGAGTTCCTCCTGTTCCTGCTTAATGTGTGGGGGGGGCTCTGGGTCCTCCTGGTCCAGACTGGTGCTCCACTCCTGCTGGTCAGGGAGAAGCTCTTCTTTAACCACCACCAGCTGGACGTCTGCAGGAAACAGGAAACACACAGTCAGAAAAAACTGCCAAGTGTTAGCATTTAAAAATCTGATCACCATTAAAATGTGAGATATTTTGCAGCCTCAATTAATGCCTTTGTTTTATACTTTCAAATTATCTTTCTTAGTCCCACCGATTGTGTATTTGTGTTGTCTCAATTCATCTTCTGTAGCCCAGCCCCTTTCCACTTCCAGTTCAGCACTAGCTGCAATGTAAACAAGGAATTGTATTTGGCATCGTTCACAGATAGACTACGCCTATAGAATGAAAATACTCTGTTACGAATGAAAATCTTGCATTCAAACCTTATTTAAGTAAAAGTTTGCAAGTATTAACAGAAAAATGTACAGCACCTTCTTATGTAAAAGTAATGATACAATAAAATTGTTGCAGGGGCAAAACGCAACATCTTGCGAGAAACAGCGTCTGAGGGCTTCTTAACAATTAAAGGTCCCATGCTTTTCCGGTTATTACCCGTCCCCTTGTGTGTTATGTAGCTTTTTATGCATGTGAACGGTCTGCAGTTACAAACCCTCAAGTACACCCTGTAGCGAGTACAACTCTAACACAGAAAAGGCCCGTCTATGCTGCCCCAGAACGCCTCGTTGGAGATTTCTCTTTTTCTTCCTGATACCAAGTGACGTAACGACGACCCAAATGGACACATTGGTCCAAATGGACCAATCCGCGGAGCCGTTACGTTAAGTCCGCGGATTGGTCCAAATTGACCAATCCACAGACTTCCTCACACACTCAATCTTTTCTCAGCTGCAGCTCCACAGACTTCTCAGCCTGAGACGGCGGGACACGGCGAGGCTGTGAGTCTGTATGTGAGCAGCAGTGAGCCTTGCAACGTCTCGCAAGACGGCACCCTGACCCCACGCAGCATTTTCATCTGTTTGTCATTACTGCCGTCATTTTCTGGTTGCTAACTAACGCCATTGTAACACATAATCACTGATGTTCCGCTGTAACGGTGGTGGACTCATCAGAGCACAGTGGGGTCACAGGGAGGGGGGGGGGGGGGGGGAGCTCCAACAAGCCGTGTAGGACAAAGAGTGAATACACATACTATACAGAGATGCTGTTTGAGAAACCAATGTGAGTTTGGAAAATTGCACAATGTAAATCTATTCTGGTAGACCTCAACAATGGAATTATGATCAGTAGAAATGGCCATGTCATGGGACCTTTAACAAACTATGAATGTGTCATACCCACTTAACGGGAAGAAACTCAGCTATCAGACAATATTAACAATGTTTAACTAAATGAAACAAGGGTAATAACAAAGGCTCTGAATTAGCCCTGAGCGAAAAAATGCTATTGCGCTTAGCAAAGAACTCACGGTAAAATACCCTTATTACTTATCAGATCTGAACAAACAAGATATCAGTTAGCAAGCTGAGATTCCACAGATTCTAGAAATATAAGTATCATCAGTGAGCGATCAAAACTCGTGCCAGGGGAAGCAAACCCAAACATCACACCACGTAGCTTTACGGAGCAAACACAGGAAATATGTCTTACCTTTTGCTGTTTCTGCTCAAAAGTTGTGTTCAATGGCATTAAAATGATAAAAACGCTGCTGAAGGTTAATCCAATGTGTCTGTGTTACTCTGAAATGATTACTGATAATCCATCACTATATTTTTGTCAATAACGGAGTTTTCACATTAGCTGCTACGAGAGTGTATGAAAGCTTATGGTTTTGGGCATTCTGGCTACGCATCACTCATTCACCAATGAGTAATGTTTAGATGGATTTTAGGAACTTCCCCTCGATTTTGTTGGCTCTAAAAAGGCCCGGACACACCAAGCTGACACCAAAGAACTGACACAGACGGACCCGACTGTTGTGTCGCCTCGCGTCTCTGCGTCTTGGCCATGTGTCGCACTGGAACACACCGCAAAGACTTCAGCCGACGGCCAAGAGGCATGTACGAACTGCGCATGCGTGAGTGGCAATAACTCTCCTTACCAGCAGGCGGCGGTAGTGTGTATTCGTCATTCCAAAGAGGCAACAACCGGAAGACAGACTGCGTGATAACCGAGAGAAGAAGAACAGACTGCGTGATATAAACAAACAACAAATAGCGTGTGCGTTCCATTTTCACTCTACAGCGAGAAGCTCATGGGGCTTTCCCGAACCTGTGTCGAGAGCTGGAGTTAAATGAAATCTCAGAATTGCCTTCTTAATAGTTTGTTTGGGTCCCTCACTCCGTTTTGCTTCTCATGCACTGATTCGCTAAACTGAACAGCCCATCAGAGTGATTTATTTTACCGACAGCATTTGGCCGAAGCACAAGTGTTGGAGCCAGTATTTTCATTTTATAAGAAAGGCCACCTAATTGTGACGTCTGTAGTCAACGCACTACAAAGGACTAGAATTCCCACGGCGCCTGCGCTAAAGCCACAGTGATGGGCAACCTGTTTGAGACGCCTTTGAGGAACAGTTTTTAACCCTACACGTACAAATCTTACAAGTACCCTTTAAGTTATGAAGTTATATAAGGATTTTTAAGAAAGAAAGAATACCTAAGTATTTATTTTATTTTTTACTTATTTGAATATTGTAAAGGCTTAATTTCTTTGCTGCATGTGCAAAAGTGTGTTCTTTTACTTTGAGCAAACACATCGAAGCATCATCTAAACCAGGGGTCGGCAACCTCTTTGATATGAAGTGCCATTTAAAAAAAATAATTGTATCATTACATTACATTACATTGCATTTAGCTGACGCTTTTGTCCAAAGCGACTTACAATAAGTACATTCGACCAGGAAGACACAACCTT